GATCGAATCAGGGCCAGGGCCCCATACACCTATGGGGGCCCATCGGTTGCTTGAGGGGGGGGGGCAAATGATATGACGGCCCCCTTTATGTGCTTTGGGGGGGGGGGGGCATGGCCATGATGCCCCCCCCCCCCCCAGCGACCGCCACTGTGTACACATTACATACAGGCTTCTGAGATTACATACTATAGTAGCTCATGCAAACTCTATGCAGGCCCCGGAGGTCCCACGCTAATCCTTAAGAAACCAAGCCGGCATACGGCGTCACCACCGGGCTTCTGAGGTGCACAGCACCAACCCATGAGGTCTTATGTGTCGTAGAGCCACGCTCATTTGGCAGGGCCCACCCGCCACTGGCGAAGAGGGTCTCATGCAAGCCATTGCTGGGCCTACGAGAGCCTCAAGTAAACCCACGCTCAACGCTGATATTCCATATAAGATCCGGCCATACTCGTGAACCGGTGCCAGCGACGCTGACCAGCAAATTGACAGAATGCGAAACTGAGCCCACTCATGAGTGAAAATTACGTCCTTTGATGGCGCAAGAGAGAAAATGAAACATACAAAAAGCTTTTCTAGGACTTTTGTTCGATCTGAAAGGTAGGGCCAAAAGATAGTATGGCCCCACCTTTCAGCACCAAAGGGGGGGGGCCATGGCCCCCGTGGCCCCCCTGGGACCGCCTATGGCCGAAACGGCCCCCATGACCTTTCCGCCAATATCTCCTAAACGACTGTAGATATCGTCACCAAACTTTCAAGACCCCTCCGGGCATCAATTTTACACATTGTGACCAAACATTTTCCAGAGGCTATGATAAGTTGGCCGCAAATGACATGACGTGATGTTCTGCCATTTTCGACACAAAAAAAAGTTTTCCGGGAAGACCTGTCAGGCCTACAGCTTTAAAAAAAAAAAATATTTATCACATAAAAGGTGAACAATTAACAGGGCTATAAAGCTGTTATGAGTTATCTAAGATTTTTCAAACGGCGTTGGATAGCTCTACCACGGAACTTCCCTGCGACCCAATTTCAATCTGCGCCCCACTGGGGGGGGGGCTATTCATAGCCCCCCTCCTGTTTTTCTGCAATAACTTCCAAATCGCTTGACGTATCGAAGCCAAACTTTCAGTACCTTTGGCTGCATCAATTTGACACCTTGTGTTAAAATTTGAACTTCGTACCTACCATAGGTCGACCGGAAAGGACGTCAGAGTGACGTCATGTTCGGCCGATTTCGACGCAAAACATTGAACCACGGCAATCGCTCCCAAGAGCTCAGTTTTTAAGCTAGATCCAATTTCTTTGCATGAGAGGACTCAGAATAGACTGCACTATCAAACTGCTATCTCGGAAAAATTATATAATAAAATTCAAAATTTATATTTTTACATTTTTTTTTTAAAGTTTTTGACTTTTCGAAAAAAAAAACGAATATATGTGATAGAACGCATTATTATGACTAACTCTAGCAAGTTTTAGCTACATATCTTCAAAAATGGCTAAGTTATACGCATTATTGCAAAAAATTCACAATTATCAATTTTTCAAATCAATTTTTCAGCACGTATTTGACATTGTACGCCAATATAAATAGCACCATCGTGTTCCTGAGCTCAAACTGCATCCAATAGACACCTTTTTTGTTGAAAAATTTTAACTTAAAAATTTGACCTTTTTTGACCTGAAAGTGACCTGACCTAAGCTAAATTTGACTCAAAATGACCTCAAATGACATAGACGACATCAAATTCGAAATTCTTGGCCTAAATGGATCATAAAACATTTGTCACGTGACCGACGCATGATATAATATTTTCGTGACCTATGATGACCTGACCTTGACCTGAAAATCAAAGTACAAGTTTGGTACCCTCAGGGTATCTAGAACATCTGTTCACGAGTGTGTGAACCAAAAATGAGCCTGATCTGACTTGTAAGACGGCGGCCAGAGCCCAAAACGTGAACAAGCCAAAATGCTAATAATTTTTACTTTGACCTGACCTGTGACGTCATCGGTGACCTTGAGGTCAATGAAATAAGGTTTCGCTCGACAGTTTTTCCGGGGCTATCAGATGCCGTTTGCATTTTGATGATCGGCCCAGTAGTTTCGGAATTAGGAGGGAGGCTATGAATAGCCCCCCTCCCCCCAGTAGGGCTTGTTATACGCAGACCCCAGTGGGGCGCGGGTTAATTTGCGACATCTGGAGACCTTGCAGAGGTTCACTTATGACGTCATAGGTCAGTGACCTGACCTGACCTAAAAATGCGGTTGGTGTCAAAAGATCCGGCTTGAATCAAAGGTTAGGTGTACCAGGTTTTAGCTCTCTATCGCCAGCGTGTTCGGAGCTATCGCGAAAAAACCCTATGGGGGGCACCCGCCTCTCCCCTCAGCCGGCGAGGGTTAACAGGTTTTTCGCTATAACTTAGCTAAAAAAAAGATATCGATCTGACATTTGGTATGCAGATAGAACATGGTTCGTACTATCGTATATATTTTGATTTTTTTTCTAATTTCGAAGAAAAAAAAACTTTTTGGATTTTTTTTGCTATTATAAAAAAAATATTTGTTTTATTTTTTGGGGTCAAAACTCAGAAATTTTAAAAATTCGAGATAGCAGTTTTGTAGCCCGGTCTATTCTACAGCTTTTATGTGTTCATCATTTTTCTGTATCTCCAAAGCTATAGGCCTGACAGCTCTTCCCGCGAAACCTTGTTTTGGGTCAAAAACGGCAGAACATGACGTCACCCTGACGTCATTTCCGGTCAACCTATCATAAACTTTGGAAATTTTTTTGGTCACAATGTGTAAAATTGATGCACGGGAGAATACTGAAAGTTTGGTGACGATCGACGCAGCGGTTCTGGAGATATATCGAAAAGTCTGGAGGGGGGGGCAAAAAATAGCCCCCCCATCAGGGCGCGGGTTAAAAATTAACACCATGATGACGTCACCGGTGGCAGCAGACACCCAATGTCAGTACGATGAGGCAACGTGTCGGCGAATTAGGGGGAAACTTCGTTTTCTGTTGCCGAGGTTATAGTCGAGTAAGCGGTTCCACTTCGGTCCATGATTACGGAGCGAGCGAAGCGAGCGTAGTCTTTCCTTAGATTAACGGAAATTTCTGAGTATGAGCGGCCGGCCGGCCGGCCGTGCGGACGCTTTTGCGAGGCTTATATCTCAGCAACCACTTGACCGATTTACATGCGGTAATTTTTGTAGGGTAGCTTCATTCCTTCTACCAAGTATTGGACTATTCCCGATGCATTTGGGTGACCCCTTATGCACGTGCCACGTGCAAAACGAAGAGGTGTCAGTTTTGTAATTGTTGCAATATTTCGGTAACTACTTGGCCGATTGCGCTGAAAGTTGGCATGTAGGTAGGCACCCACTAGGCACTGCATATCCATGTGCCAGAGTTGGGGTGCTGCTGCACGTGCGCACGTGCAGGGGTCGTTTCCAGATCTCAAGAACGGCTCGACCGATTGCGCTCAAATTTGGTACACAGTTAGGGACCGGTTAGTAGGGTGCCGTGCACAAGTCAGTTGGGACCCATTTTACACGTGCGCACGTGCAGGGTGCCGCTTCCAGATCTCGAAAACGGCTTGGCCGATTGTGTCCAAATTTGGCACATCGCTAGAGACCGGTTAGTAGGGTGCCGTGCACAAGTCAGTGGGAGGTACCCCCTCGCAATTTCGCACGTGCAAGGCCCACCCTCTCGCTCGCTCCGTTAGTCGCCCCAAAAGGCGTTATACTGGTAGTTATACGTTACATTGCAATACAAGTTCGACAGCATGACTTCACCACTGCTCTCATATCTGGTTCAAAAACACACGGATGGAAATTATCGGGAAGAAATCACATGTCAAAAATAGTCGACGTTCAATTTTATCAGGTTCAGTCGTTGGTCGTTTTGCTCGCTAAACACGTGCTTATTCGAAAAACATACTTGGAGCCAGAGTCCTTATAAAAAAACGAACCATAGTAGATAATGTCATTTGCCTGTATCCTCAATAGGTTTATCCCTCGCCCGTATTGGTGTTTTCCAGCCGCGAACGTATAAGGGGGGGGGTCCGTTGGACCCCCCTTGCCGTTTCGCCCCTGATCGAGCTAGAGCTTCGCGGGAAAAAACGAGCGTGTTGCGGCGTTGCCCGTGACGAGAGGAAGCCGATGATGCCCAATTTTAAGGTCCTAGGTCATTGATTGACCTTGCAGGTCAAGTCAATGACCCCAAAGGCGGGAAAATCGGGACCTGTTAGAACGTCGTAAAGTGTGGCTGCTATGGGGTTTTCCGGGGTGCTGATCAGTCACGAATATCATGTAAGTTTTGATCATAGATGATGTCTTCATGTATTTAGGCCAGGTCGGGTCAGGTCAGGTCAGGTCAACCAGTAATGGTATTCGTAGTAGGTGGCAACCGCCTCTGACAGCTTCGTAACATGTTACGAAGGCACCAAAACTACTTCGTAAATGTTCATATGGTTGCTAAATTCGAATTCAGCTCCAAAAACTGGCCTAGAAACATGTAAAACTCGAAAAAGTGAACCGAGGTCATCAAAGGTCAATGACCTGACCTGACTTTCAGGTGACCTTGACACCCACCCTAATGCATGGGGGCAACATCATATCACATGTTTGAACGCTTGAAACCACGAAAAGACTGCAAACGCGCGGCTAATGCGAGCCGACGTACGCCGAATCGCGATTCCAGCCAAACATGGTCTCGAAAAGTAGGTCACAGGTCAAAGGTCATTTGGGTCAGGGTCATGAAATTTTCAGGATAGGTGTGAAATTGATAAACGCGAGGGTACCGAAAGTTTCGTCGCGATCGGCCGCTTTTTACGCGAGTTATTCGCGAAAAACCATGGGGGGGTCCGTTCGACCCCCCCCCCCCCCCTATACGGGCGAGGGTTATGAAACCGTTCCGACGTAAAATGCAGCAGAATAACTGGATCTGTCGCATTTAACGGCAACTGACCATTCCTGTTCTCTCCGACAGGTACGGACGTGAACATAAAAAAACAGTCAGTGCTAAGCAGTCGCAATGGTCATCATAGGCTGGCAGTCCTCATCACAGAGGCCGACGGCGGCATCATTGACCAATTCATGAGGACGAATCATCATGAGCAGGCTACACAACTTTGCATTGATGGTGAGCAATTCAAATGAGCGAGTGTATATATGTAGATGTTACAGACAAAGTGAAAACCCGGGTATTTTGCAAAATGCATAGGCAATTTGCAAAATGCCTGACCGTCTAGGCATTTCGCAAAATGCCCAGGCAGTTTTTAAACTGCCTAACCCACCTGGCATTTCCCAAACTACCTAACATTTTACAAAATGCCTGACGGTTTAGGCACTTGCGAAATGCATGAGTTTTGATTTATGTTACCGTTTTTGTTGATTGCAGGCGTTGACCACAAGGCACAGACGTTCCACTGTAACTGAGCCTCGAACACCTTCCATGTTAACAATGACTCAGGTCTTGCGCGACTTCCGTCGAGATGGAATCGGAGACACCACTGTAGGATGAGCCATCGTCTCCCTACCTTTCGTTACCGCAGGTTGTTTCTTCATTAACCGCAGGTTGTTTCTTCATTAGACAAACACTATTCGTTAGAATTGTGTTTTTCTATTGGCAACACAACCGGAGCAGTCCTTCACCGGGCTATGTTTTGCATGGTTGGCAGCGAATTGGGGCAACTTGCTTGGGGCCTACAGTTTTGGGTCTGTGTAACATAGCCCTCTCCGATCAAGAGCTTTGGCCACCTTTCCCTGAGAGTTTTTGTTCGGCGATGGCCTGGAATATACATTCTTGGACGATACCGCGAAAACGAGCTATTTCTATCGAGAGTTTTCAAAGAATTTCATACACGAGGCCTTGGCCGAGTTCATGAAATTATTTGAAAACTCGAGGTATAAATTTAGTTTGTCGCGGTACAGTCCAAGGCCCTATATACCAGGTAGGTTCATTAGGGAATTTTTTACGTTCCCCCTACCGGCCCTGGATGACGTCACTGGGATGCTCCCGCCGCGGCCGGCCTATGTATAGAGCATTACTACGGACTTTCCGGTGGCATTTTTTCGTGTTATAACGCCCAAAAAGCTATCGCGAGCTCTTTTCGCACTAGAAATTGAAAATATGTTGCATTTTTAAGTGAGTAATAGTGCTATAAGGTCACGTCCAGGAAAAGCGGGCCGAAACCAGCGAAGCTTGTATGGGTCCCAGGGCGCAGGGTTATGGAGTCGGGACCGGACTTTGATCGGAGTCGAACTGGAGCCGGAATCGGAGTCGGAGTCGATTTTGGAAGCCGGAGCCGGAGTCAGAGTCGAAGTCACCAAAAATTCATCGGTTCCGCTGACTGCGGAGCTGCAGGGCTGCGAAGTCTGAGTCGGAATCGAAAAAAAAGCTCTTTTCGCACTAGAAATTGAAAATATGTTGCATTTTTAAGTGAGTAATAGTGCTATAAGGTCACGTCCAGGAAAAGCGGGCCGAAACCAGCGAAGCTTGTATGGGTCCCAGGGCGCAGGGTTATGGAGTCGGGACCGGACTTTGATCGGAGTCGAACTGGAGCCGGAATCGGAGTCGGAGTCGATTTTGGAAGCCGGAGCCGGAGTCAGAGTCGAAGTCACCAAAAATTCATCGGTTCCGCTGACTGCGGAGCTGCAGGTCTGCGAAGTCTGAGTCGGAATCGGTCAGAATAGACAGTTCTGCCCGGAGTAGGAGTCGGAGTTAGTTTTTGGAACTAGGAGTCGGGAGTCAGTAGTCACCGGAATTACAACGGCTCCGCTGCCCTGCTAGGGCGCTCAGGGCGGATGCACTTAACCCGGCGGCCGCTGGGCCTCCGCGCCACCCGCCGGCCGCTGGGGGGGGGGGGCATATAGTTGCCCCCCTTTACTTCCGCGACGATATCGTCGCAACGCGAAGAGATAGAGAAGCGAAACTTTGCACACGTCTTTCTGAATACCTAGCCGAGGTTGTGTCCAAATTTGGTGTCGATCCCATTTGAAATGACGTCACAGTGACGTCATAAGTCAAATTATAGATTTGCGACTCTCAGTTTCCTCACGATGCATCAGATGTATGGGACCGAATATAAGGAGCCGATTATTGGTCAGGAACTAGATGGAAGTGTGCTTAGATGTTTTAGGATGACAGCAGGTGCTGTCTAGTTCATTTACAGTTGAGTTTCATGCTCAGCGTCATCAGAAACGGTCCATATCGGAAAACGACAAAACTTTATGACGTCACTGTGACGTCATCTTTGGTGCTACAACCACCAAACTTTTTCCGAACATTGCCTAGGTATTCATTTGAAGCTATGCCAAGTTTCATGTTCGTAGCTCATCAGGTTTCGGAGATATTCCACAAAACGTAAAGGGGGGGGCAACTTTATGCCCCCCAGCGGCTCGTGGGTTAAGTTGCATTGCTGAAAAAATCGAATAAACATTTTCACTAAATATTATAAGTTTCACTTACGGGTGGCCTTTACTCACAGCTGGACGCTGGTGGTACAATATCGAGACGCACAGCCGTTACCCAATGCCGAGTCGCACAGTGAGTCGCACAGCCGTTGTTACACACAGCCGGAGGCACCATGTCGAGTCACACAGCGTGACAGCACCAACAGATCTGGCCGTGCCACACCGAGTCGCACAGCCGTTACACACAGCCGGAGGCACCATGCCGAGTCGCACAGCACCCACACAGAGCCGGCCGCACCACACCGAGTCACATAGCACCACGCCGAGTCGCACAGTCGTTACACGAGCCGGTTTACCAGCTCACATAGAGCTCATTGCATAATGGCCAACTTTTCTATCGGCTCTTTGAGTCTTTTCAGCTGCCGGACCTCGTCCAGAGTCAGGCTAAGAGACCGAAGGGGGAGGTGGAGACGGGTGCTCGCCAACTTCCTGGACACGCGGGTGCCGAGCTGAGGCTGCTTGATGGCGATGAGCAACATGAGACGCTGTATGACTCGCGGCCCCTGATCTGCAGTTGCCCCCATCAGCAGGCAGAAGTTCCGCTCGAACTCCTCCACAACGGCCATCCAGGCTTGTGACGGAACAAACAGCTGGCCTCGGCTGAACGTCACAATTCAACTGTTCGGCAGGGTGTTCAGTGTCTCCGGCGGCGCCCGAGATGTCAGGAAACCCGACTACCGAGGGTGGCGTCGATGTGGTGAGACTTGAATGCCACGAAGCCGGCAACAAATGCCGGCCCTCGCGCTGAGCTTCCAGGTTGGAGCTCGTCAGCTTGGCGCCGGCCGTGGCTGCCAGCGTCGACACCGGCAGCGGCACTGTGAAACCAGTATTACGCTACATCACTTGAAGACATTGACAATTTAATTGTGCAAAAAAAAAAACGATAACACTTAAATGAACCTAATCTACGCATTGAAATTGACAGATTTCGCGGACAACAAAAAATTCATGCCCTTTGGCTTTGCATTAATTCGATTTTCCCGTTACTATGGAAGACATGTTTGGCGACTGCCCCTCGAATTCGCTCGTGATTAGCATGGCACTTGTTCAGAAAAAAAAAACACTGCGTATAAAAATGTTCAAACACCAACCAAGACTGAAACACAACTCAGCGTTTTTCTAAGCACTAGTTAGGACCAGCATAGGTCATTATCAGAATATTTAGTGGATGTGATTTGAGACATCACCTTATTGGATTGAGTGGCCTTAACCCGACAAAAAAAGTTACCATTACTCATGGTAAAAAGAATGTTTTGATGCATTATGACATGGTGGCGCCCAACACGGGCCAGGATTTTTAACACTGATGGATATTTGTGAACACTTTTAATATGAGTGAACACATAAACCACCAGTATAGCGCCTTTTGGGGCGACTAACGGAGCGAGCGAGGGGGTGAGTCTTGCACGTGCGAAATTTGGAGGGGGTACCTCCAACTGACTTGTGCACGGCACCCTACTGACCGGTTTCTAGCGATGTGCCAAATTTGAGCACAATCGGCCCAGCCGTTCTCGAGATCTGGGAGCGGCACCCTGCACGTGCGCACGTGCAAAATGGGTCCCGACTGACTTGTGCACGGCACCCTACTAACTGGTCCCAAACCGTGTACCAAATTTGAGCGCCATCGGTCCAGCCGTTCTCAAGATCTGGAAACGACCCCTGCACGTGCGCACGTGCAGCAGCACCCCAACTCTGGCACATGGATATGCAGTGCCTAGTGGGTGCCTACCTACATGCCAACTTTCAGCGCAATCGGCAAAGTAGTTACCGAGATATTGCAACAATTACAAAACTGACACCTCTTCGTTTTGCACGTGGCACGTGCATAAGGGGTCACCCACATGCATCGGGAATAGTCCAATACTTGGTAGAAGGAATGAAGCTACCCGACAAAAATTACCGCGTGTAAATCGGTCAAGTGGTTGCTGAGATATAAGCCTCGCAAAAGCGTGACCACGGCCGGCCGGCCGGCCGGCCGGCCGGCCGCTCATACTCAGAAATTTCCGTTAATCTAAGGAAAGACTCCGCTCGCTTCGCTCGCTCCGTAATTAGCCTTACTTGTCCGAGGTGACTGCTGGCTGGTCTAGAGGTTACTCGCAGGTTGCTCCCAGAATCTCCTTCACCTCTTTTGCAGTGGTCCTCCTCAGGGACCTACTCGCCCTCGCCTCAGTTTTCCTGCAAACAGAAAACTCTCAGCACAAACAAATTTGGCTAACGTCATGCTGACATGGTAAAAACAACTAATAAATAAATATTGAAAAAGATTAAGCACCTGCCCATGAAATAACTTCAGTGACCAATTTGAAAATAAATAATAATCAGCACAAACAAAATTGGCTAACATCATGCTGACAGTAAAAGCAACTAATAAATAGATATTGAAAAAGATTAACCCGCGCGGGGCTGGGGGGGGGGTAAATTTTACCCCCCCCCCCCTCGCGAATATTTGCAATATCTCAAAAATGGCGGCGTGTAGCGCCACCAAACTTTCAGTACCTTTTCTCACATCAATTTGAAACGTTCCCTGAAAATTTGAGCGAAATACGTCGGAAAGTTTTGGAGGAATTGACGTTTTAGTGACGTCATGTTCGCCATTTTCGCCTCAAAAACGGCAAAATTTCAAACGCCGCTAACATCTTCATTTTTAAAGTAATCAAGACGTAACAA